ATGCAAATACCATCATATGAAGGACTTAATGCAATATTCACCATTTCTACAAATTCAGACTTGTTTTCAGTCTATTCAATAGTTCGAAAATACCGATTGTTTCTCGGTCAGTTCTTACCGAACGGTTCCAAAGTTATATGATTCAGTATGATTAAACAAGCAACAAACTTTTTCATCGAATGACTTCAAAGAGAAATGGATGATACTAAAATTGGTTAAGGAACGCTAGAAGTGTTCAAGAATTTTTAATCCGTTTAACGAATTGATGCTGAAGCAATGGTTGAAAAATCTGTTCCAGGAATTGTAGTAACTACATCATTCGGATGGAGAAAGTGTATGATACGGATAGAACAGAATTGATTGAGATTCTACAATCACTCTACTCATTGCCAGACGCCTGTCGCAGTTTTTATCGGGCCAGATCCATCTGGACTTAACGCATGAACTAATTTCGAGAAGTTTCACGAGCGAAAACATCTATTCTTCCGTCGTGGACTTCCTTCGAGTGTAAAACGTCTTTCAATCCTGTGGAAACCCTTCGGTCCGATACAAGCAACACGGTTTATTCTTCGTTTTTCCATAGTAATCGATCGATACTTTTTCCATCGGAGCCGGTTAATTGCATCCAGGCAATTGTCTAGGGGTTGTTTATTACCCGTTCAACTTTACTTACCCAACATCCTCGCCCGACCTGATAGCTCGAGTGTTCTTTGACCGAGTTTAATTTAATACGGCGGAAAATTCGCTCAAAGTATGATGTCGAACGAGAAGTTCATCTATTACATCGATACACCGAAAGTGTCGTCCACGTCCACAGCTTCTTCTTTTAAATATTTTTCTCCGGCGGTAATGATCAATTTTTTATCAAATTTGAACACCGTACGAACTTTCGAACTCATAAATTTATTCTTCACTACTTTTCGTTCATGATCTTCAGAAATAATTAACCGAATATGTTATGAAAATGTGCGAATTGGTTAACTTTTTTGTAACGTCAGGTTTAATGCGTAGAAATTTGTACCCGTTGCAATACAAAATAGTAATAACACTGATAAATATAATAAATGGTAACAGATTCTTCAATCCAGCTTTAACAGAAGTAATACAGCAAAAAGAAAAGAGAAAAATACAATCACTATCGAATTACTCTGATTGTGAGAAGGAACATACAAATTTGTGGTTACTAAATTAACTTAATTAACAACAAACAATAATATTCACGTAGATTAAAAGTTATGAAATGCATTAATCATCGCTGAAAGTGTTAATTGGGACCAAGTGATTTTACATACGTATATCGTGTAGATAACATCAATGAAAATTGTCTGATGATTTCAAATTTTCAGCCGGTTTTGCATATCATACAAGCAAAATTAAAATTACATTACATGCACAATATCACGTACAATTATTGAATAAAGTAGAAATATCATAAAAACGGGGAGGAAATAAAATCACAAGTAAAATTCAAAAGAGCGTACATTAACATCAAGATCGTTGAAATGGAAGCATTTAATTGAAATTTATCGGTCCGATAACAAGTTCACTCTAGGATAATCATTCATTTATGTATATCGTTGAATTATTCCATATTAAACAAAAACTTCAAGAGTCCGAAAATCAATCAAAATCACGTTGAAGCGTTTTTTTAACCAAACGGAAATTTAATGCTCTTCATGTACTGAAATAGCACGAAAAATGAGACGAAGTTCTAAGAATAAGTGGGAAATAAGAATAATATACAAACTGAAGACAATAGATCACAATTCTTCTCTTAACCTTCGCGTTAACACTTTTCTCTTAACTCTCCATTCGGACCCGCAACAATATCTTGTATTTATATAATGTAAATACGTTTTACGGTTAAATTTATACTTCAATTTACATAGTAACAGTAAATCATACTGTGATTGTTACAATTATATAGTATAGTCCGGACAGACCCTATGTTCTCCTGGCGAAAGTTAACCCTGCTACGGCCTTCGAACCTATTTCGATCCAATCACAACAAAAAGCCAGTCTAGTACGATCTCATACAAGTCAGTCTCAAATACAATTCATACACGAGACAACAATCTACACTCTGTTCGTGCAACGATCCCGATAACATCAATTTATTCTTCCGGAAACGAAGTTCGCGATATATTCCAGTTTTCTACAGTCTACAGTAAACCCTCGATGAGTGCCCGAAGGCTTCTCGGCACTGACAAGGAGAGGTCTTCAGGAGTAACGCGAACATTTTAATTAGTTTTAGCACAGTAAGCTTGGAATTCTCAAGCCAATAATATTTGTTTCAGCCGCATGTGGTCATTAGTTTATGAAATATTTAATATTCCGTGCCGAGGAGCATTCGAACACTCACTCGTGATTTACTGTATATTGTGAAAAAAACACAAATTCTTATATTGTGAAACTCGAATCGTTCAAAAGTTCAGTTAGCTCAGACGTTACATTTCCCAGTGCAGCAACCTGATAATTTAATTGCCTGTTGACTTTTGTCGTCTGGCTGACTTTCATCGTGCTCCCGTGCCGATTGGTTCGCCGCCGATATTTTCGGAGCGTTCATCGCGCAATCCAGAACCCAAAGGAAACACGTCCCCGTGATATTCCGGAAGTACGGTAGAATGAATTTCTCCTTACAGCAACGTTTGTACCATTCGAGCTCCTCCCTCTTTGTGGTCTTCTGCCTGAGTAATTCGGTGAATTCCTTCGATCTTCGCGGCGCCCTCGTCCTCGGTACGTTCCAACATCTCGCCAGACCGCTTCTGTACGTTGTCGCGTCGATCGTCTTTTTGATACCCAACGACAAATCGCGCAGATCGTTTTCCAGGGAGTCGAATACCGTTTTGACCTCCATTTTCCTGTCTGCGTTCTCGGTCGTGTTGGTCGGCTCGACGACGCCGCAGACTAACTAAATAGTGGACAGTTCTTTAACACCTTGGAATTGTTTCGTAACCGGTATCTTGTACCGCCTTCGCACTCAAAACTCAACTTTTTGCAAATCAAATTCAACCTTTCGCAGTCTCCAAAATAAAAAAGTAATGAAAAACATTTTAAAGAATGTACTTCAAATTAGAATTTCACACAGTAGGTAACTTATGAAAATTATTTGCCCAACAATCAACGATCTAAATCGTTGTTCTTGTGATAATTTGAGTAGGTGATTCATTTTTATTCGTGTAAGAAACGCTGAGATATGAGTTAAATTCTTGTTTATTAACATAGAAATATATGTTGTCTATCATCTTCAATAAAGAAAAGAGGGTTGAAAGCTCGTTTCATGCACGTTCTGTGGAACGTTCAACGAAAACATTGCTTCGTCGTTTCATTTTTCGAATCTCAACCGATGCACAATGGTCGAAAATCACGAGAATCTGGCCAAAACCCTAAAAATGAAGATTTAAATATCGTGTTTTGAATCATTTAATTGGATACGTGGACAGTTGGGCCAATAAATGGGGAGGAATAGGGGTGACGATCGTTTCTACCTGGATTCATAAGTCAGTGCAAAAGTGACCGTGGTTCGAACCGCACCTTACTCCGAAAAAGAACTAAAACGTGTCGCTCACTTCAAGACAGTGTAACTTTGGTGAAAGTGCATCAATCTCAAATTTGAAAATTGAATCCTACTCTTGCAAGTATGTAAAATTGATATCTACGTTTAAGAAATTATAATGAAAACGTAAATTATGACAATTTGCGATCGCTTTAAATAAGAAGATACAGAAAAATTTCATGTAAAAATGTTGAGAATGTAATGATATATTTTGCATTCTACAATATTCTACTGAGAGATTTCCAAATGCATGTAGTACATAATAATATCTAACAGAATCAACAAGACAAATTGCCCTCCTGGATGCAATCGCTAATTGAAGCAATACGCACGAGTCAGGCTAAAAATTTGTAACCACGATACAAAGTTTTATCCCCCTAACTACTAAATGTAGAAGCTTCGTTTTTTCTTATTTTGATCGTAAAAAATGATCTTTTTGACGGATTTATGTTATACTTTTAATTTCGGAAATTACAAAAGGTTTAATTTGATTTGTAAGAGGGTGAATTTTATGTGCAGCAGGGTGAACTTGATTTACAAATCGTCGATTTTGGTGTGGAAAAACATGCCAATATATTTTACTATATAAATATTTGCCAGTACTTTGACCCTCCTGAAGCTAATTGCGGTATTCTATTACGTCGTCCGATAGTATTGAAAATAATTTGAATACAGTTTTTATATTTGCATACAAAAATAAGGAAATAACCCTGATCCGTCCCTTGTGTCTATTTGACACATTTTTCTGCTAAGAAATGATGTTACTTTGTCACGTGTAGATAAATGTAGCTGAGGCTCTGTGACTTTTATTTTAAAGAATTTGCAATATTTAACTATTTATCTCTTCATTATATTAACTTTTTATCACTGTGTCGAATTGACCCCGAGAGAAAAATTAAGTTGAGAAAGTGACGGACGGGTGAGGGTCAATGATTCATTATTCGTTTATTCATTAGTCCAGTTATTGCATTAGTCCAATTATCTATCGAATCCAATTCGAGTTATGTATTAGTCCAGTTATTTATGAGAACTCCTCATTTATTATCTGGTATTAATTTCTTTTTATTAATTAATAGTACAGCTTTGGAAAGAGAGCTAGTTGTTCCATACTTATTACATAAATAACAATATATGGAAATAAATTCCGCCATAAAAAAAGTATATGGCCTTTAAATAACCTTGAAAATAACATCAAACAAAAAGTTTCTTTATACCATCACCTTTGCCCTCTTGAACAATACTACTTTTGTCTTGGACATATTCTCCTCGTCAATCCCAACAGAGATATTTAGGTGTTCTGTTTCTTGTGACTAACTCTGTATATGCAGCGTCAAAACTGTTAAATTGTAGACAATTCTATGCAGTTCATCAATGAGTAAATTCAAATCGGAATTTTAAAGACCGTAGAAATCCAGTGTGGGTGTATTATTACACCAAAAATCGATTAGACTTGATGAAGAGGAATCGTGTCGGCCGAGGAAGAGTAATATTTCACGGAATAATTTAAACGACGCGAACGGCGATAGCTTTGCATAATATGCAAAAGAAAGTCGGTAACCATCCGAGTAATTTAATTGGAACATCTGGCAGCGACTTTATAAAAAGAACATTAATTCACTAACGGACATCCAATAGTGTCCGAGTGCTTTCTGGATGTCGATCACCGCGTTCCTATCTGGCTCCTTGAAACCGTACACGATACGCATAGCCAATAATTTCGGCAAGGTCGTTTCGTCTCTGCTTGAAAAAGGACGACGATCGGTATTTTCCCAAATCCCGTTTCCATTTCTGCCGAACGGGAACAGCCAATTGTACGGAATTGCGTAAGTACTTCTTATCAAGTCCGTTCTGTCGAAATTCGATGGCCTCACTTTGAAATCCTGGTATTAATGAAATAACAATAATGTTAATGATAGACGAATGTTTAACCCTCGAACGGAGGTGACTATATAGGACTATTTGAATTAGAGTTTGCAAGAAGTATATCCAACTCGATAGCCTTATATAACTATTTTCAATTGGTATTTCTTTATACATATTAATTCGAATTAAAAAATTGCCAGTTCACAAAGAAATTCGTTTTAATATACATTTAAAAGGAATGCTGCATAAGGGTCGAAACTGACCCAGGCTTAACTGTTTGCATTACCATCAAGTTCGTCTTTGGAGGGTTGACTGAGAATTAAGAAAGAATACTTCTTTCGTGGACGCAGAAACAATGTTTTGGGACAACTTATATCATTTGGAATCAATACATTATATTGCTAAATTACTGTTTTTCCCTTTGTTTATTTTCTAGGGTTTATTAAATGTGAGACCAGTATAACCAGTATAGCGTGTGGAGAACTTTAAAAACAAGATCGTGAGTGACAATGGATAAGATGGATTAGGTGGTAAGGTACTAACCCAAAAATTATTGCACTGTCGTGGATAATTCATGAAACGTGTATACACGCTCATAACACCGAAAGGGTTAAACAGATTGTCGATTTACACGTCAAGTTTTTCTGATGTGTTGTAGTTCGTGTATTTTTATCCTACTTTAACGAATCAAGACTGGTTAGCATAAATAGGAGAATTGGATAGTGATTACATCATAAACAGTGATCTTATAATTGTGACCACCAGTTTGGAATCCATAAATTAATAATTAAATGGATTGTACGCTCTTTTTGTTCAAAGAACGTAGAGATTGATATCAGAAAAGTAAGTGATCTATCATCCGAAAATTCGTTTTTCCGTACACTCTGGTCTCGCAGTTTGCTAATTCCGTTATGGCAAGTTCCACTGTGCTTCGAAACGATTCAATGGAAAACATCTCAAAATCAAAGAATCTATGAAAACAACACATTCCCAATCCTCCTATATAGTACAAATATTGTCCCGATCTTGGAACGAGTTAATCCCATGGCATCCAACGTCAAATCTCAATCGACATCACAGCCGGATACCCCGTTTACCCCGACCAATTCCCTCGTAACGAAGAAACGAAGCTAGCTCCCGTACAATTCCCTACGCGTCCCCTCGATTTTCTTTTCCCGATGGCTGAAATTCAACGACTACTTTGTCGGAGTAACAATTCACACTAACCTGAAATGATAGCATGGCCTTTGATCGTGACTCAGGCTTCGACGTCTCGAACGTAATCAGACGAGCGAGTTTCGGTCGTCGTGCGGCTGGATACAAAATGATGCTTGTCCCGTCATCAAAGATCGCGGTCGCCTCGATCAGTTCTTTGGCGGATCGACGAAGATACTCATGAGCCGTTAGATCGCGATTCATCGAGAACAACCTGTAAGAAAAGTTACGTTTAGGAGATGCACCTCTGATAACCTTGACCTTGACATATGTATGTTTACAAGGACATTCTTCTGAGTAACCTACAAAAAGTTTTAGCCATCGCTCGTTTTTTATTAAAAACTTATTAGGAAAAAAAGTTTGCAAAATATACCAGTTATTCCAACCAGTTACTCTAACCAACACGAATCGGTATAATGCTTCAGAGGTAGTTAGACACAGTCCAAGAAGAAAAATTGGTTGGAGACAATTCAAGAAAATGGTATCATTGTTCTCTTAACCCTCCGAGTACGGTCCCTGGGTCACGCGTTCGCGAGAGCGACATGCACACAGTGACAGAGTCAGGAGTGGAGACACGCGGTCTCGAGAGCGACACGCACGCAGTGACGGAGCTGTCGTGTAAATCGCATAACGACCGATGTTTGTTTACATGCGAACGACCAGGTCAAGACGCCACAGAAGTATTGACTAATAAATATAATTTGTTTTATAATTCACGAGATTTTTATTCTAATTAGTGTAATAAGAACCACGAAAATCCAAATGTAATGTGGAACCAGCTAATCATTACATTGTATATGTATATGGTAACGGTGACTCGAACTCGAGCTCGAGCTCCAGCAACCGCCACTGCGTAGTAATATCGGTGAAGGTCTCGAGTTCGAGCCTCGCCGTCGCTGTGTAGTAGTAGAATATCAGTGTGGGGTCAGAAATGACGTAGGGACCGGTGACCATGTTTCCGTGCTCGGAGGGTTAATAACTTTCAAATAAACATTTGATAATTGAAACTTTCTGAAGGTCACTAGGAGGGTGGCCTTGACAACATATGTCAAGGTCAAAGTCATCGGAGCTGCAACCCCTGAACGTAACTTTTATCCAACCTGTATCGGCCGGTTTTCGCGCAACGTTCCATGTGATCGCAGACATGGTCGGACTCCAAATTTTTGTTTCCATCGGACGCATCCTTCTCGTAGCTCTCCTCCTCCGAGGCAGAATCGGTGATGTCGACGCTCGAGCCGGACTTACGACATCGGGACGGCCGATTTTTGCCATGATAACACGTCATCCCGTCTTCGTTGACTTCGAAGACGTTATCGCAAACGTCGACGCAGGTGAATATGACCGGCGACGATTCCAACGGGATGAATCTGTACGTGGACTTTGACCGGTAGCCGCAAGTGGTGCACGTGTTGCCCTCGAATGACACAACGTTCTCCTCGATCTAATGGAAATTCGACCGTCTTCAAAGGGACTGACAGGACTCTGTATACCCGTCTAGATTTTCTTGGTTCCTCTTTAATATGCTCTGTGTTATTTGCACGACTTGTCCGTTGTTGACGAGTTCGATATTTTGTATTGGAGGGAAAGAAGAAGTATTGATGAATAGTAAAATAAAGATGTAATAATGATGGTGAAAGTGAAGGTCGCTATTGGACTCGGACAGTAGACTTGAAAGTCTCAGAGAATTTAATAAAAATTAATTAAACTCTGTTCTTTGTTATCTGTATAATCAGGTTTAGTAGAAATTATTATGCTAGATACTTTGCATAAAAATGCTTTTACATTTCTTTCTTACCGTTTGTAATTTGAAACTCACAAAATGTCCAAATTATGAATTGTTGTATGACAATAATTCTGTTTATTGTACTGTCCTATTCTTTCCATAGAAAATTGATAAGTTTTAAAAACAGTACGCAAGTCTGGTAATATATGTATACACCTCTTTAATAAAAACCGAGTGGATGTACAGTAATTGAGAAATAAATCTAGGAGAATATAAAAAAGTTTTGAGATTCCATTCAAAGCATTGCTCTACTGTAATCATTAACAAAAGTTACTAATGTACCCAGCTGCATATTATTATTGAAGTATAGTGTCATAAAAACTGTAATGAAATTTAAACAAACTTTAATTTTACTTTTACCGGAATAAAATTATTCATGAATGACGTGAATTACTATTTAAATGCTACTTCCATGAATTAATCTAGAAAAATATAAATCCGCACAAGTATTTTTAGTCAAATTACAATTATTATACATCGATCCTTACAATATTCAAATTTTCTTTCGTCTTGTTATTCATTTATGTAATTATTTATCAGAATAACCATTCGGTACATGAACAATTGATCACTAATTAGAAACTGGTCTTTTTTATATTTAGACTTTGAACATTTGTGCAAATTCAGACTTTCCTGAATTAATTTACAGAAACTTATTTATTCTCTTAAATAGCCTATCAGATTCAAAACAAGCGAAAGTCTCATTTCATCTTTATTAAACATTTTACACGTAGGGTGGATGCACCAATGAATGGACACTATACATATATAAAAACGAGTAAATTAAGTTATTAATATAAGCAAATGATTAAATATTGATTTGTTTCAATTCCTTGTTTATATAAGGTTGTTATATAATTATCAATGAATACACAATATACTTAATATTGTGTATTCATTGATGAAATATGTATTTTTTCATTTTAATCTAATTAATTACATTTTTCCAATTTGTGAAATTGAAATCTATGCGTTATAAAAAGGTATAGATATTAAAAAATGTAACTCTCGTGTGCCAGATATTTATTAGTCTTATTATCATTTAAAATTCGATATTAATAATTACAAAATCTCTTGAGTGATCATTCATCGATGCGTTTACCCTATTAAACGTTTGTCTCGCTAAAGGAAATAGCTATATCAAGATTAATTACCGAAAGTTTGATATAGGAACGCTTCGACAGTTTTTCACACGAAGTTCCCAAAGACCTGCGGGACACCCCGTGTAAAATGTGTCCCCGGTAGCCGAAGCTGGGGATTTCGATTACCTTCAGATTAACTTGGTCCGCCATCGAAACTTTGTAATGACCCCTTCTCGATATGCTGACTCGAAGATCGTCGGGCATCGATAGGGCGCAGCTAACTGCTGACTGATCGTAGACCACCGTCGCGTAGTTCTTGTGCTCGGCGCGGCACGTCAACAGGACAGAGACAAAGCTGTCCGCGATCAATATCTTACCAATATCGTCGTGTTCCGGCCTGGGGGACGACGACGCCTCCTCGTGGAATTTAAGATTCGAGAACGAACGATCGACGCAGTCGTCTACCTCTTCCCAGCCGTTCCTCCCGGACTCAAAGAACCGTAGAACCTCTTCCTCGGTCCACTCGCACATCACTGGCTCCATTTCTACCGTGTAACCGGTCGTGATACGCGTACCGTCTAAAAATGCACGAGAACTTTGAATTATACAGGATACGCGGAAAGGAAACACAACGGAGGATACGCAAGCCCCCCGGAGGGGAATGTATTCGATCGAACAAACCGAATGTCGATCGTAAAAATTATTCACATGTCGGATGGAATATATGTTTTCACTATACATATATTCTTATATATTCACTGTATACATCGAAAACAAAGAAAATGAAACAGTTATTTTGTTGGATACCTGAGTAAGGCCTACTGTCCACTAAGGCGTCTCGTCATAGGCAGGTCAGCGTAGCGTACAACATGACGCTTACGCTACACTTAAGTTTCTGTCCACTCGAGCGTATTGGAAGCGTATAGAAAGCGTACGGAAAGCTTCATTTTCCTCATTCGCAAAGATGTCGGGCGACGAAAAAGACGTTATCGCCTTATGTAATTATTAGACTCCGGATGTTTATGCAAATGCAAAATTTTATAGAAAACGGATAGAACAATAGGATCTGAGCAGAAATATGTTTTATGATTAGAGAATTCTGGAAATATATCGTTTATTTTGCACTTTTTGCATAATGCATATGTTTTTATGTTTTATATTTAAAAACATATGCAATAGCTTATTGCATATGTAATTTGCCCTGTATACATCTTCCGTGTTATTAAAAAAATAGTTTCTCGAGAAATCAATTTAGTCTATCAGGAAACTATCGCACTATAACTGTAGATTACTATTAAATGTAGACAACGCAAACATAAATATCGTGGTAATTATAGACAAACATCAAAACATACTTGTATAGGCTTCAGTTGTTCGTTGAGCATTAGATATGGCAGTACTTGTAACTATTAGAGTGTTTTTAATAACGCCGAAAACTCGGAGCAGTAGAATATCACTAATGAAACATTGGATCGAAGGCGATTGCAATTTTGTCATCGATGAGAGTAATGAAAGAAGTGTATGTTGTAAAACTTATAATAAAACTAGAAAATGCGAAAGAAAATCGCAGTTATTGTAACATAAATACTGCTACACACAAAAGATATGTTGAAGAAGCAGCTAATACATGCAAAAGGAATACCTACTTCTGAGCAGCTACAAACGAGTTTTAAAAAAATGAATTTTACGTGAATTTAACGCGAGCAATGGTTGCTGTTAATATGCGTGTATTAAAATATACAGACCGCATTGTTCAGAATGAATCGACACTACGAATAAATTACTTGGACGATTGCTATGATTCAAGTACTCGAAATTCAATATTAGGGAAGACATTGCGGATCATTTTATGTGGATTTTTGTGGATGAAGCCACTAATGCAATAGGCCAGTGCATTGCAAACTTAGGTTTGGTCACAGATACAGCAACATATATGATCAAGGCAGGGAAAGAACTAAAATTATTTTACGAAAATATGGTACAAATTACATGTATAGTGCATGGTTTACACATAATTGCGAAAGAAGTACGTCTTCACTTTCCACCCGTGAATAAATTAATATCATCAATAAACAAGGTTTTTATTAAAGCGCCGCTTTGTATTGAAACGTACCGAAGAATATTAAATGATATGTACTCCTCTACCACCGGAACCTATTTTAACTAGATGGGGTACGTGGATTGAGACGGCATTATTTGATGCTGAACATTTAGAAAAAATGTTTGTCATTTACTGTAACTCGAATTACAATATGTCACAATAAATCGCAAAATGTATTGTTCATCTTGAATATTTTCCTTGCAAATTTGCATATTTTCCTGCATATGTGCATATTTTTCGTGCATAAATCGCATATGTTTCTTAGATATTTATTGTGCATAAACATCCGGAGTCTAGTAATTATATTCGACGGCGTAAAAGTCGGATAAGTTATTTGGTTATGTATGTTTTTCATTCTTTTTATAGAATGAATAAAAATACGTGCAAGAATTTAGTACGTTTGGTAGCTCCGCTAATTAAAAAACAAGACACTAAAATGCGATGTTTGTTAGCCATGTACAAACATGGGTATTTTTTCTAGTTTTTTATATTTTATGGGTAACTTTTCAACAATCTACGAATTTCACGGCCGACATATTTCAGACTCAAACACAAATGAAAATTTTGCGTCCTTCTATACGACTAGCGGCAGACATCGTTGACGACGCGCTTCATACCGAACGCATGCAGCGACGAAAACACGACGCATGTGGACCCACGTTCATTGTTTTACATTGGTCGCTACATGGGAGCGTCCTGCAAGCGTCCAATGTCTATGAAGCGTCTATGACGAGACGCCTTAGTGGATAGTAGGCCTAAAGAACAGTCGATTTTATAAAATATACAGGGTGTCCCAAAATAGCTTCGACTCCCAGAACTGAGGGGTACCTGAGATGATTTGAAACAACTTTTTCCTTAGCAAAAATGTTATCCCTGGCTTTGAAAACCCCGACCAATCAGAGCATGAGTCTGACGGCTAAGTTCCCGCGGTAATTTTGGCTACGAATTGCAATACATAGCGTTACATACTATATACAACTGTAAAATGAAATTGTTAAAAATTTATTTTTTTATTTAAATAACATTTGTATTTGGACGTCCAATAACAGATATATTAAATGTCAAATTAAAATTTTCAATATCAACCTGCATAAAATTTGACACCTAGTAGATGATATAACATAAAACACCTTAAAGAATACGATTTTGGTAGTTCTCGCCTAATCGTAAGTTTCACGACGATAGCAGAAATTTCGACGGTAGGAAGAAGATGACGAATAGAATCGATGAGATTGTCTCCGGTTCCGCGAACGTCTGCGGAAACTGTTTCAAAGGGCAAACAAAATACAGCTGAGATGAGGAAAGTTCCGGATGAAAGTTTATAAACTTGACTCTCGCATATGTTACAGGAAAACGGTTTACGGGACGCAGCCATGAATCGCTGCATAATTTTCATCCCCGACGTGGAAAGTAAATATTTACCGTCCGGAGACTTGATAACGCGTGAAGTCGACAGAAAATGCTTGACAAAAATGTGAATACACGTTGAAGGACTTTCTTCGAATTAATGGCCAAACTTTGGAGCACCTGTGTCATAAAACACTATCCGGAATCCTTATAAATTTAGTCGAGTTTCTCGTTCAAGGGAAAATTCTATTATTCTGCATCATACTGATTCACAGACGTTCTGAATAATGACTACATTCAATTTCCAATTCTAATCACACTCTACTAACGCTAGTACAGCGACGCGTGCAGACAGTTGCTGTAGAACACTACTTTGAATCATTTTAAAGAGGTACATACATGTGTATTGGACGGCTAAAATGAACGATTTCTTTTGGGTTGGAGCGAAGAGCAACTATTTTACTATTCTTTAGTTGAGTTGTACTATTCTTTATTGTGGATATAGCACATATTTTAGAACCAGGAAACGTCCAACATATTGGATTATATGCGTTATATTCACATTAACCCTCCGAGCACGGTCCCTGGGTCACGCGTTCGCGAGAGCGACATGCACACAGTGACAGAGTCAGGAGTGGGGACACGCGGTCTCAAGAGTGACACGCACGCAGTGACGGAACTGTCACATCAATCGCATAGCGACCGATGTTTGTTTACATGCGAACGACCGGGCCAAGACGCTGCAGAAGTATTGACTAATAAATATAATTTGTTTTATAATTCACGAGATTTTTATTCTAGTCAGTGTAATAAGAACCACGAAAATCCAAATGTAATGTGAAACCAGCTAATCATTACATTGTGTACATGGTGACGGTGGCTCGAGCTCGAGCTCGAGCAACCGCCACTGCTTAGTAATATCGGTGAGGGTCTCGAGTAGTGATGGGATTTGGAACGCTTCGAATCGATTCGAAACTGTCTTGAATTCGAGCGACAAATTCGAATCGCTTCGAATCTGATTCGAAGCTACAAAAGTCTTGAAAGTCTTGAACGGATTCGAAGTTCCGAGGCTATTGGAAGTCTTGAACGGATTCGAAGAATCCGAGGCGATTCGAAGTCTTGAACGGATTCGAAGTCTTGAACGGATTTGAAGTTCCGAGGCGATTCGAAGTCTTGACCAGATTCGAAATCTTTTTTTTATTCTTATTTTTTTATTTAGTAATTTAACGGGTATTAAACCAGTATACATATATAACAATTAATGACAATAAGATTAGAAACAGTTACATCAATATATTATACAGTATGGAATTAGTCATAACAGCAAATTTTTAATGAAATATTAAGAAGATTAAACAGTTCTTAGTGCTCTATGTAGGGATGCCTTAAAGTATTCAATAGAGCCACTGAAAAAGTCAATCAGATCCGTGAAATTATTGGCTGATTTCAGGATTCGATAAATTGGATCGCATGAACCATATTTAGTTTTTACTATATCAAGTCTTGACCAGATTCGAAGTCTTGAACGGTCTTGGAAATCTTGAGGAAAATGTCTTTTAGGAAAGACAGTGGGGGGTGCACTCCTAAGTGGACGTGCCTTCCATTGCGTTCGGTCGATTCGTCACGCACAGCCTATCCATGAAAATATACAAACTATCGACGACCCAGACGTCTCGCTAAGAGGCTGTGCGTAGAGAACTCCCAAGATTTCCAAGACCCTTCAAGACTCGAATCCGCTCAAGACTTCGAATCCGTTCAAGATTTCGAATCTGGTCAAGACTTCGAATCTGTTCAAGACTTTCAAGACTTTCGAGATTTTTGTAGCTTCGAATCAGATTCGAAGCGATTCGAAGTTTTCGTCCATGTACAGATTCGAAGCGATTCGAAGCGTTCCAAATCCCATCACTAGTCTCGAGCTCGAGCCATACTGGCACTGTGTTAGTACAGTGTCGGTGAGGGCCTCGAGCTCGAGCCTCGCCGTCGCTGTGTGTAGTAGAATATCGGTGTGGGTTCAGAAATGACATATGGACCGGTAACCATGTTTCCGTGCTCGGAGGGTTCAGTAAAATATGTACAGTAGACTCACGTTAAATTGACGGTGCGGGGCTCTCGAGGCGGGTTTTTCCTGGAAACGCTACTTCAACGCGAGCTAATGGGCACGCAGGATCTCGTGGCAGTTCGGTCGATCCACCAATTGGATCAGAACTTTGGTTACAGATGGCGACCGATAGTGAGTAATGTTAACATGCGCTACTTTAACGTGAGTCTACTGTACAAAATCACCAACGTCAAACGCACGTATTAAGGTCGCAGAATCCTGGAAAATTTTGTTAAGTATCTCTTTAATGTTTTATTTCAGAAAAAATTTACAGGATTCATATTTGCTGTATATCTTTGCGAATTTTTATTTAACATTTGTCAACAAAGTTCGAACTTGTAGACCTTAAGCCAGAGAATATTCGTTTACAACGATTTCGCTTTTAGATTGATCATTCCACTGAAATCGTGCTAACCACGTAAAGGACGAGCGCATTACGCAGCGCCCACATTAGCGCTTTGTATTTCACTCCATTTTTATCATTTTGGAGGTTTCTTGGTTGTAAAATACGTGTTATAGTCACAGTAAATTATAAAACGCACAAATAGTATGAGTTAGTAGTTATCTTCAATCCAACCCAAAAGAAACCGTTCATTTCAGCCATCCATACAATACCCATGAACCCCCTTCAAACAAGCCGAGCGAATAAAATTCATAAACTGTTAAGTTGCTAATCAGGTAGATGTTATAGCCACCCTTATTCCATAAACGTAAGTAAAATTCACGAAATTTAAACCACATGCACGAACGTATACACATTCTGATTCCACACATATACGAAGTTCTTGTTGAGTACCAGAACACCTTAACGTTAAATGAGACTTTTGTGACTCCGTCTCGGTCTAGGTCACTACAATTAATACTAATTGCAAGTTACAACAGAGTTTAAGTTGTATCCTTTTAATGGATCAATGTACAGAACTTCTTGATCTGAGATCAAGACTGCAGCTTAAAGTATCTTACTTAATATTGAATTACTTTGAGATTTGTTACACAATACCAGGAAACTAGATTAGGCAGACTCCTCAGAGTCCGTATAGGTAAACTGAGCGCAGCTGATAGTTGAAGGAGTCAGCAGAGTCAGGCTGAGTAGGGAAGACGGTCGTGGGGAAACTCGGAGCTATCAACTGTCCGAGCTCCAACCGCTTAATGAGGTGCTCATTAGAGTGAACTTATTTAGCTAGTAGATTAACCTGCGGTCTAATATCCGTCGATGACCTTCAAAGCATCTATGTTTCTTATAGTCGGTAGATAATGTATAACGAACTTGTAAAAAGATTTTCGGTGACCACAAGGATCTTTTTCATACCTCGACTGACCCCTTTTACAGAAATTTAAAACTGTAAGGTCGCGAAATTCATTCAGGCCTGTAAAAAACGTCTCCACTCTAATGTGGTCCCCGTTAGTCTCATTGGGAAATACACGTTTCTTTGTTTATTCCATTGACCCCTAGATATATGTATTTGAAATATTAGGTATAGACATTCCATAATTTTAAAGATATAAACAATTAATTTTACGTACCTTTAAGATGTACTATGAATACAGGTCAAACTTACCCAAATATTTAAAGTTGTTTAGCTGATAACTTTGACTTATATTCATAATATATCTTGAAGTTTCCTAACTTTAGTTGCTTATATCTTTCAAATTATCAAGTGCCTACACATAATATTTCACATATATCATTAGGAACCTGCATACTTACTATCATCTTACAAAACCCCATTACAATCGGATCAGACTATTGGGGTCCTTCCCCTGTAAGCTCGATGAAGACCTAGGAATTCAAAATTGTGCAATTCCAAACTAAATATATGAGCAAACAAAATATCGAAATCAAAATCATACTGGTGTCCGAATATTTTTATGATCGTATGTGCATAAAAATGAAGTGCCATTTTGAATTTAAAACCCAATTACGAGAATCAAGATTTGTAATGACACGCGGAATTTCAGAATCATCGGAAGACGTCGCGACGCGTGAATTTCTCGTCGACCTCGTAGTCGGATGCTGTCCTCACGAGTAATCGATGGTCCTCGCTTACGACCAAGTCGTCGAGCACCTCGTACTGTCGGCCATCGTGATTCAATACCCTGTATCGTGACACCTTCACCTTGCCATCTGTCGTCGACCAGACACCGCCGTCATTCTGGAGAAAAAGTAGGATATTTAATACATCGATAATATGACGCCATTTCAAACATTTTTCCGTATTTCGTACGATACAGTTCTGACACAATTTTGGGCGTCTGTCTTTTACAAACACTACAGCTCGAAAGTATTCGGACACTTGGTAAAAAAAAATAAATAAATGACCCAGAAATGTGTAGGGTAAGAGGTCCAAATTTCGTCCCCGTGCTTAATTCTATACCTCACTCTATCTATAGGGTTAAGGGGTTATGCCTAACTATAACTTTTGCAAAAATCGATTTTTGGGTTTTAATATTTTCTTACAGAGAATGCAAACAAGATGTGATAGAAAGACTTTCTGGATTTGATTTATTATACATTCGAGTAAATAAAAAAAAGTTTTGTTCCAATATTTGTGCAGCCCGGCAAATTGTAGGTGGCGCTAATCATGTTGATCCAAAATTGCACTGTACAAGCGGTGCCCACGATATCTCGATGTAGAGTAGTCCGAAATGAAAATTTCAAAAAGATAACTGAATGTTACTCCAACGTCTATCGTACAACCTATCATGAAGTCGAAAAAATAAAATGGCCGCATTTGGTATGAGTTTTAACAAACACATGCAAACAAAGCCGGAAATTTTACATATATTATTCTGAATAACAAAAGAATGTATGTTTCAAAATTTTCAATACTAGGTCACGCGATAGCTGATTTAATTACAAAAAGAATGCCATAAGAAGTTTTAAAATCGGTTAATAACTTTTTACATTGTAATGGACACTGTTTGTATGCAGTGCAATTTCGGATCAACAAAATTGGTGCCATGTACAATGTAGAAATATTGAAATAAACATTTTTTTATTCACCTGAATGTATAATAAATAGAGACCAAGAAGCTTGTTTACCATATCTTTTTTGCTTTCTTTAAAAACAATTCCTGTCTCCTTTTTTTCCGGTCGTTAAAAGAGAAAGTGACCTTAAGTGCAGGAGCCTGGTAGCAATTGTGTAAATTTATGTTAAATACGATTCTAATAAGCTGACAGAATTAACAAAAGCTTTCATCAATTCCAACATACGTTACGACAGTTCGTTGTTTTACACGCAGTGCACTGTAGTGATTATTTATACTTAAAATTAGATGTCACTATTTAAGGTAAATGATTCTAACATGTTCTTTTTTTAATGAGGTATAGTTTATTGACTTTGTTTTCATAATCTGAAGTGGCAATCTTGTTTTGTCACTTATATGTCAGAATCGATAATTATATTGAAAAGTGACATTGAGCCTAATTTAACCCTTCTATACTGGTCTTAATGTTGCCCCGAAGATACGTATGATGTGTTAAGCTGTTTTTGAGCGACGTAGAGGGAGAAAAATGGATTAGATATACTTGATACTTCCAATGGTGCCATGAGTAATGTGCATCTAAACCTCAAACAAAGAAGTTTCTGTGCACTTACTACATATGAGTATATTCTTTTGTTTTTGCTTCATTTTTACCCCATAAAAATATTATTTTTATATTTCCACAAATGAAACATTTTACAAACATAGAAAAGTCAACTATAAAATTTATTTCAATCAACTAAAAGCTGTTTAAGAATTAAAACCAAGGGGGACGAAATTCGAAACACTTTTTTTGAAAAGTGATAAATGCATGTTCTTGGATTTCTATTTTTGATTCTATTTGTATGAACTTTAAGAAAAAGTGATAATAGGGTCTCGTAATTAAGGTTCCTACGTGACTACACAATTTTTGTCAGACTATAATGTACCTAGATTAGTTTTCGAACAAGAACCAAAACACCTTAGGGGGGGGGGGGCGAAATTTAGACCCTTTACCCTAAGTTAATTCGCGGTTTTTTTATGGACCCACGGATTTTAGATGTCACTACTTCAATGAATCCCAGTTGCCTTTCCATCAGTTTTTAATTATCTATGAACTATCTTCATTTAAAGTGCAGAAGAACCCTTTTTAAAAATTTGAAGGTAAAGAACATTTTACAAAAGTGACACGTGCGGACTCGAACTACGTTGTTGCATATTAATTGGAAGGTTTATAAACAAAAGTCGATTTTATCATATCATTACATCCTACTCTAGGTGTATAGCTATAATAATAATAAGAAAATAAAACCATTATAAGTCCTTTCATCTGTGTTTTAAGTTACACTCTGTCACAAAATAAGCAAATGTCTAAGTACTATTGAGCGATAGTGTACGCTATTCCAATGTTTGTCTTCTGTTTCCAGCATTAATGTATGTAGTGTCAGTCTGCAAACTGAATTTGGAGGAAGTCGTTGACAGCTTTTGTTGAAACAATGCATCTTGATAAAATGCACCTAAGGTAATGTATGCTTTATAAATAACGACATAGGCGTAAATGTTGCACAGATTACTGAGAATATTAATTAAGTGCACGGGACAAATGTAGTGGAAGTGAAAATCTGCCAATATTGATTTTTGAGATTCCGTGATGATGACTTAAATCTCAAAAGACGGAAACGCTGCGTTAAATATCAAATGTCTACAGCGAATGTTAAAAGGCTGTGATCGACCTCTTGGTAAAAAAATAGCAAGAAGTCGTTGAAAAAATGGATAATTACGTCTGTAGATATGACAGCTTCTTTAGATGAAATATTGAACAATCAAGGTGATATCCTTCAAAATAAATCCATTGAGAAGCTACACATTGACGGAAATAGTTCTTTTATTCTTTAAATCAATGATAAAAGTCTCAATCTGAACGATTGTTGGGTGGGTCACGGCGTTCTGAATATTTTCAATCGTACGAAAAGTTCTGTTCTTTAAAATAAAGTTTAATTTTTCCAACAAAAAGAATGTAATAGGGTTTAATGGTTGAAGAGCCAAGCAATTGGAATACCGCCACAATTTTCTTTAAATCGAGAAACTCATTTACAGGCAATGCACCGTAAGAGAAACTTCAGAATTGATTGTAAGGAATACAGAGACCATCCAGAAAGACAAAAACTTTCAACGCTGTACTATGAAAAGGGAGAAACGGCTTTTTCCGTGGGAATTGGTTTAAAGAAGATCACCTTAACTGTTGATAACTATTATGTGGAAAAGCTTTTATAAGTGCAGTCTCGTTAATTGTAGAACAAAAACCATGTATGTTAACGTTTCACTTTAAACAATAGAATTTACGTTGCAAACTTCCAAGAATTTCCGTGTAAGATTGCTCTAGGTAACGTTTCGAAAGTTGAACGCAATGGACTGAACGGAAGTGGGCGAGTTTTTTACTTCCCAAGAAACGTTCAAGTGACACGTGGAATATGAACGATCAAACGTGGACGCGTTAAGTGCTCGCGGAAGGCCTGGATTCTTTACTTATAGAATCAGATCATTCTGGGGGCCCGGTCAAAACGAAATTTAACGGTCACTTGATTCACCGTCCCTGAATCCTGTCGTCCAACATCTCTCTTGCTATCTCCAGCCAACCGGGACTTGTAGGAACCCATTGTTCTGGTTTCATTTCGTCCCGGAAACTTCATATCTCTGCTTGCCCTGTCACCTTTGGAAACGAAACTCTAATTTACAAATACAAAATTATCGGTTAATATTACGAATAATCACTTTTCTAGTATTAAATTTCAGTTATTTAAATAGAGATTAGGAAAACTGACAGTTTGTGATTCCAGACGAACCAAGAGTTTGATGCCTTATGTAGAAGAACAGAAAAAATTGAAAACGACTTCATCCAGTTCTTTAAAATACAAAACAAACAGGAAGCTAATTAGTTTTCATCTATTTTATTTATATTCTGTACAGTTTAATGTTTCCACGTCTAGAATATCGATTATACTGACAAAGAAATGTCCCGAGATGATCGCGTCTAATAATTTATTACCCTGGTTCCTGGCTTCAATGTTAGTGCATTAATAGCAAATATAAATATACTAAATACATTGAAATAAAACGGAAGAATTAATAGACTGTTTGATAGATATTTCAAATTTTTTTCATACTGGTTCTGGTGAAATGGAATATAAAAGTGAGAACTTGTATAATCAATCACTAATGATGTACATATGGTTTTGCTAGTAGACAGATAATAACTTCGAATACACGTAACATTAAACTTTTCTAAATATCAGTGAAACGTTAATTGCACATTAGACCACAAAGAATCATGCCATGTACAAGAATATTTCCAAAGAGAATATCTTGTTATATATTTTTTCGAACACGAACAACCTATCTTTTCATCGCCATTTTTAAGGATAATGTTGAATAATTGTTATCTGAAAATCATTGTACCTTTCGCGAAATTCGTTTCAATGTCAGCCTTTTCATCTTCGTTAGATCGAACCTGTTCGAAGGACATGCAGGTTACGATATCTCCATTAGGACGGAGGACAACAACGTTGCCATTGTCAAAATATTTTAAAACGGTTCCATTTCTCAGGAACTTTCGACAGATTTCGTGATTCCCATTATTGGCATTATGACCGTTCCTGATGTATGATTGACGGATATAAAAGGGATTCTCTTCGCTGTCACCAGTGACCGGTTCTATCCACAGTCCTGACGGCCATGAGATTCTAAAATCGAACTCTCCACTATACTTGAAAGAACGTCTCGTTTCATCTGAACACGAAATAATGATCTGACCAACAAATTTAACATTGTAGACGAATATAGAAAAAAACCTCGGACTACCCGAAAAGCTAGTTTCGAGTACACTATATCACTTGTTAATTGCAAATATCCGACTACTTTTTTTTTTTTGTTTCGCGGCAGAATTCTAACAAGGGAAAGTACTGAACCCGTACACGCCGATTTTAATTAAAGTTATATGGGAGATAGTTCTCGAGAACTAAAGGAAGTAGGAAAAAGTAATTTTTTTTAAATCGTGTGTTTTTGAATGGGGAATCTAGCCACATAACAAAATATAAGAAAATATTATTAATTTAAATATTATATTAAAAATTTGAATTTTTTCTTAAATTGTCTTATGTGACTAAATTCCCCAGTTATAAACAGACAATTTAAAAAAATCTTTTTCCTACTCCCTATAATTCCCAAGATATTTCAAAACATATGTTTTCATCCCTCAACTTTAACGGCTGTTGACACTCTCTTAACATACACGATGATCGATAAAAGAAAATAGGTGTCGAATATTTTTTGGAGAACTATCTCACACATAAGTTTCATTACATACGCCGTGTGCGGGTTCGGCATATTCCCTTGTAAAATTAGATTGTAACGTTTGAAAGATGAAAAATATCTTTACGTCCTGAGTTCAGCAGTTTCTCGAACCCAACGACAATTCCCAGAGGAGAGGTCAAATGAAACACCTCGGAGGTATCGGATGGCTCTGTTTGAGGAAACAAATGCAGACTGTAGCCTTGTATGGTGACAGTGATGCGTAAATCCTTGTTCCTGTAAAGCCAATCGTCCATATCCACCTTGACGAGCGTACCGTCGGGTGAGAAGAAAATTGTTTTGCGATTTATCACGTGCACACGCAGGTTTCCTAAATCATAGCCAACGAATTCATAAGTAATTTCTTCCTGAGAGGTAGTAGGAGACGAAATTTTCTTCGAGATTTTAGTCGAAGTGTCGCCTGCATTTGACTTTGTTTGCGTTTGTTTTTCTTTTCTGGGAGACTTTTTCTTCTTTCCTTTAATCTTCTTGGATCCTTCTATGATTTCGTTAACGGCGGAAGAGGAAGCTGTATCTGCGTCTGAAGCGTTTATCGTTGAAATAATTTGTAAAGAATTTTAAAGAATTAATAAGGAGATATTCTGTTAACAAAAAATTCAAATTTGAATGAAACAGTAAGAGGGCTTTATTACTAGTTGATCACTTTATATGATTGAAAAGTTTTATCATTTAAACCTTGCAGTATGCAAGTTATAAAAGATATTTGTTTGAGAGGTACCGAAAGAAGCTAAAGAATTCAATAAAGTAATATAAGGTTATTGTTATAACTTCCTCTTCTTCATTGGATCATAAGTGTTTACTGTAAACCATTTTACCCATACAAAATGTGAAAGAAAATTCTTGAAGAGATAATAGAAGGAGATTACGATTTAACTAAAGTAACATAGAAAGACTACTCCCATCTTTTATAAGATTCAACGTGACCACCGTAAACGTTTTCAAAAATCATGCAAAAATAAAAGAGAATTAATAGAAGTGAAAAAGACATGTAAGTATAGAATAAAGTTAATTGTTATCGCACTTCTATAATATAGCCCTTAATCTTCTACTGGCCAAATCAACTTTTAGTATTCAAACATTTGTTTATCTGTATATGTCTACTCTTTTATACTGACCAGTTAAACACATGGGACTTAAATTCCCAATTTTTAAGGTATTAGTCTTTTTTCAAAGTAGAATTGTGACATGAAGGTCACATAAGGTCACCAGTGCATTTGCAAATGTGCAGCCGTATTGTAATTTTCAAGTTATATTGGTCAACAGAGGAAAAAAAACATTCTTACTTACTTAATATTAAAACTGGTACGTGATCTGAAAGTAACACTGGGCAGTAGAATGTTAAACAATTTAACAAAAACGGAAAATCGGCCATTTTGATGTCACAAAAATATTGAAACCACATACAATTTAAATATCGTTTTGAATACAAATTAAATATAAATGTGAAGACTTTCGTTTGCATACAATACTTTTTGAATTAGTATATGCTTAATAGTATGTTGTAAAGAGATTAGTAAATTAATTAACCTTGGAACACTAAGTTTTTGTGAAATTAATATTAAAATGAGGCACGCTGTAGCCCATGTGGTAAAAATGATACCTGTACTTTTGCAATTAACTTTTCCTTTATTTTATGTTGAAAACAATGTGTACATTTATTAAATCTAATTGTATTCTTAAAGTGAAAATGTAAAAGAGAAAAAGATATACGAACAGACTTACAATTTTCATTAGTCATCTTCCATTAACATTATTTATTTTACTAAATGCGTGTTATTTTTATACTATTGTACATTCAAAACAAATAACCAGTCTATGATAATTACAAAAAAATTCCCTTGGGGCACTACATTTTCCATGTGAGCATTCCAAGGTTAAAAGATATTTATTTCTTAATAGATGGAAACATACATAAAAACCCAGAGTTCATCGATATCGATAAAATTCTAACAGATCTTGTTTCCGTTTGGCGAGATCACTGGCTTGCAAGTATTAGAGGATTAAACGATATTTATATCTCAGTAAATGAAAATCTACATAAACACCCAGAGTCCATTGACATTGATAAAATTCTAACAGACCTAGCTTCCGTTTGGCGAGATCCTTGGCTTTCAAGGACCAAGGCAGAATAAAGTCCTCGTCCGTGAACATCAGCGTCTCGTCCCTCACTTCGTCCACCTTCAGCATCAATCTTTTCAACGACTCGCTGGTCTGCGATCTGTACATCTGTTCCTCCCGATGTATCCAATCCCGTTCCTCCGCCACAACGTACTCGCAGAAGTCACGAAGCCGTACCGAGGTCCGAATGCTGGACATTCTTTCCTCCTCGTGCACCCCATTAGCTCTCCACTTGTCGCTAAAGTAGAGCAACACCGAGTCGGTCGGCTCGAAATAAACTGTCTCGAAGCTGTCGAACGTGTCCAGGCACTGTTGCACGCGTTGCATGAAAATGGACCTTGGTAACAGCTCCATGTAATCAAAATCCCTGAGTCCATCCTCGTTTTTGTATCTCAAACTGAAGACATTCTTCTCCAAGTAACCGGGGACCAACGTCTCCCTTGGATCTACAATCTCGAACAACGGTGAACAATCGACGATCGACGACGGGACTTTTCCGTATTCGATGTTCCCGTCGCTGTGGAAGTGAATCTGTCGACTACATTTCGAAGTTAAACTCGGAACGGATTTGCTGCGTTTCATCGAGGGCCGTGAGTTCTTTGTAGTTATAGGGTCCTCAGTTGTCTCTTCTTTCGTGTTTCGTCCCGTGGATTTATCTCGACTTCGAGTCGACCCGAATATCATTCTGTCGAACATTAATATGTGCAAACAATGCCTGAATTCCTCGCTGCTCACTTTCACGCTCATGTATCCGCGGATTTTGTCGATGTGACGGGAATACTCGTCCAATTTCATCACGGTCACGCCGTGTTTTGCGTGAGTACTCATTATACGGGGATCCCAGAAGACGGGCAGGATATTGTCGATCATGTTGCTCGTGGCAGTAACACGAGAGTTTGCGGAGTCATCGAGAAGACGGATGGTCTCGTTCAAAGTATCTTCGCGGAGAATTAATTCGATCTCTGCTAACGTTTCTTCGTTGTCGTCGGCATTGTCTGTCTGGTCCAATTCGAACTTAGCGTTGAGGGTCTTTAGCTTTTCCTCGACGAACGAGTCAAATTGGTTCTTAGTTTCGTGTTTCACTTCCGTGTCGATGTTCGTCTGCTCGATATTGTTTAATGTATTAATTCAAAGTGAAACGTAACATGTTTAAAGAGGTCATATGCGTTTCTTGGCACTAAAAATTGATGAAGGTATCGTGAGTGATATTGGGAAAACTATTAAGCCGAATGGATTAATTCTTTTTGCATTATAAAAGTACGTGTTTACACATTTCAAAATTGTTACAAATATGGCGTCCATGTGCAGTGGCGTAGAACGGTTTTTTTTGGAACTACCTCAAACGGTGGGCATGATTCAGTTCATTTGAGTGATCGGAACTTAAAATATTCAATTTTTTGACACTTTTTAGGCTTGTAGTGTTCAGCTCACGAATAAAAATCTATTTCACTAATAATATTATTAAGCTAGCCAAATCGATTTTTTAACGTGAGAATATTTCTGTCGGAATTACTGGACTAATAGTAACAAATGCTGTTATTCCGACTCTCAGATATTATAACCTCTAAAATATTATAAAATCGAATACAATTTTAACCAGGCTCATTTCTCAGCATACAGTACAAACGGGTAACTTTCTCAGGCTATATTTTAAAATTCGAATTTTAAGCGCCACTCTAGTAAATATTCTACATTATTGTCAGACTAGACCACCATTCAGGAATGTATAGTAAACGTAAGCCGACATTTCTATCCTAAAGCTCTTTAAAAACAGAATATATTAGCCCAGATTATAACATACATAGGTTGTTTCATAATTTTTATCGCACGACCCTGGTAGAAAGAGCAGAAGAATTTCCTTCGTACCATTGAATAGCCCGACGCGTTTCGGGTATACATATACCCTAAGTCCCATAACTAACGCGTCAGTTTCTTGTGAGAAATCATAGTTGAAATGTCGTGCCATGGCGACTCTTACTAGACGTGACTTTTGTCTGAAGCATTTGGAAAATTACGTATAGGCGACTAGAATGAATAGGAAAATCACAAATGGGTAATTGAAGGAAACTCTCGACATCCCTACAACAACACTGCATCGAATTGTTTCTGAGCACTTATCGGTAAGACAGCTCCGAAAATTGTACCCCGTACCCTCAGTGACGATCAACGACGAAAACTTGTCAAATCGCCGAAAAATATACTAAAGAAGTTTAACTCTGGAACTGTTAAGAAGGTACGTGATAAAAAATACTCGAAAGCCACATCATGTGAGAGTAACCGTAACACAACTTTTCAACTGTGATTTCTCACAGTAAACTGACTGCAGGGCTTAGTGCATACATCTGAAAAGGGTCGGGCTATTCAATGGTGTAAAGAAAATTTGTCTGCTCCTTCTACCAGGGCCGTACGACGAAAATTATGGAACAACGTATGCATCAACATTCTTACTACAACGATTTGAAAATCTGTCTTCTAAGAAAATATCTACAATCCAAGATTGTAGGCGTTTACTCACTTCACGTCCACTCTAACTACAAAAATCTCTGAAAGACTCACTATTTTCCCGTCACTCGTATCTTCCCCCTCAGATTTCCCGCCAGCCAGTTCCTCGTTCCTGTTCCCATCGATTTGAGCCAGGATAGCGAACAGTACCAACGGAATGGAGACACATTCCTGCGGGACACTGTCCAGCAGAGCCTCGTAAATCTTCGTGTCGTGTTTCTCCTGACGGTCATCGGCCGCGAGCTTCTGGAGCTTCATGCTCTTCAAATAATTCCCGTGTTGCCGGTAGAGATCATAGAGATCGTACATGAAATACGAAACATTGTCGTACATGTCCCTCTTCAGACGCTCGTACTCCACGTCGTCGAAGACAAGAGAAAATCGCGGCGGTCGGAATACACGGATCGCAACGTCGAGGAGAGCTGGATGCGTTTCAGGATCCATCATCCATGTCTCGATCTTCGACCAGAAGTGGAACAATTCAAAGATACTGCTGTTGTATATTCCGAAACGATGGAGATGCCGGGTTTTATCGAAATCGTTCATGGCCGTGTCGCCCTCCGCCAGCAGTTCCAGATCCCGTTTCGATTTCTTGATCCGCAATATGAAGTTCAACGGCACCCCAGCGTTTACTAGGTGCTCCGATATAGCGGGATCGTGAAAGCCGGTTAGAATTATGTACAGATTCGGACCGTTCAGGGGCGCGTCGTCCACGTAGATCGTGTCCCTCCACTCTTCACCTCGTTTACGCAGTTTCGTCAGCCGTTTGTTATTCAACCTTTCTGCGTTGAACGCCCTGGAGCCTGGCTGGCCTGATCGATACCAAATTCAGTCAATACTTTTGGAGTCAGAGCTCTCGAAAGAGATGGATCACATTCGCGAAAATTCTATTAAACTTATCGTGATTATCCATCTGGATTAAATTCTTATCTTCGAATTGATAATCCTGGTCCGCCTATCTACAGAGTGATTCAGTATAAACTTTAATGCATTAGTTAGACGACGTACTTTGAGTAAAAGGTGTTGCACATAGATTATTTTTTCAATGCTTGGATAGCCATGTGTCGAAGCTTCATCGAGGTAATAGCAAAATCATGAGCTTGATACAAATGTAAACTGAAACGAATTAAAAGAAATAAAGCAACGCGAAACTGTTGGTGCGATACTAATCACGCCATTGGTCGGCGACGCGAGCGCCGTGTATCGTGTGTAGTTGGTAATACTGCGGGGTGCTGAGTTGGTACGCGTTGCGGGTTTTCTCACGCTTGTTCTCTTTTCGAACGCTCAACGAGCGTGTTCATATACTTAATAAAGATCTTCGTTGTGCGTTTACACAGTTGTGAGTTTGTTTCTCGCCTTAATCCCTGACAGAAACATTATTTACTTAGAATTATAGTATATGCTTAAAATCTGTTCCTTGAAATCGAATGCAACAGTTAAATCAGCGATATCATAATCATATGCGGGATATAATTAAATTTATGTACATCTCATGTTTACTTTTACATGTAATGAATTTTCAATCTATCAAAATTTCGTATGCTCGTTCTGAATCAATCTACACTGGGCGTCAAAATTAAGGGACTACTAAAATTTGCCTAAAATATGGGTCATTTTCAAATGACTATATCTCCGCAAAAAATAGTTACAAAAAATATTGTATACGACCATTTTGTAGCCTGAAGCCTCTAGTTTTTGAATCGGGAATTCAAAAATTATTTTCATGTAGTTTGTTCCTTTCTTTTAAAAGATGAGGCGCAGCAAGCGAATCTCAAAAAATGTTGGTCAATTTTGACAGGATGCGTGGGCCAAATAATAAAACAATTCTTTCTGGTGATCCTAATGGAATATTTTTAGAGAGCAAACTTTTCTCTTTAATTTTGTTTTTTCAATTTTGTTGTACAATTTTTATTGGCTGAGTTATTCGTCATCATATGAGAAAAGGCACTTTCAACTTTGAGCGCCTGTAACTTGCGAATGCATGATCGTATAGAAAATTCTAAAAGAATATTGGAAAGCTGAGAGATTTCTCTTTAAAGGCCTTCAGTTGCCAATTTGTTGAAATTTTTCTTCGTCGTGACGAATAACTCAGCCAATAAAAATTGTACAACAAAATTAAAAAACGAAATTAAAGAGAAAAGTTTGCTCTCTAAAAATATTCCATTAGGATTACCAGAAAAAATTTTATTTGGCCCATGCATCCTCTCAAAGTTGACCAACATTTTTTTGATTCGCTTGTTGCGATTCATATTTAAAAAAAAAGGAACAAACAACATGAAAATAATTTTTGAATGCCCGATTCAAAAACTAGAAGCTTCAGGCTACAAAATGGTCGTATACAATATTTTTTGTAACTATTTTTCGCGGAGATATAGTCATTTGAAAATGACCCATATTTTCGGCAAATTTTAGTGGTCCCTTAATTTTGACGCCCAGTGCATATAAGTAAAATAGCAGTTAGTGAATTAAATTACAGAATATTAACTTACTGTCTTGAAGGCGCCATGTATGTCAAAATTTGACTAACAATTACGATTCAGAATCTTTCAAAATTCATGTACGTAAATGAATAATCGTAAACTGTTTCCACAATATTGACACATACCCCAATCAGCGACAGTCTGCATAATCTTATATTCTTCGTCTATCTCGTGCTCCAAGTCGGCCATCCTCTTCACAATACCAATCGACTTTTCCTTGATCCGATAGATCAAGTACTTGACGATTCGTGCTACCAACCAAGCAGGAAGTCTACTGCTTCCTTCAAACAACATTCTGCTGGCATAATGGCAAACACCTTGAACGGTTGGACATTTCTCCAGACTGTGCTTCGACAATATTTTCACGCTGGACATCATTTTCTGATAGCTCAAGCAGTAAATAGCTTTCCGTCTACCCTCCTCGGCGGCGGTGTTGAAGAGGGATATGTACTTGGAATGCTCGGTGGTCGTCTCGACCATCATTGCGACGATACACCACCAGTTGTCGTCGTTTATCGAGATTGCCTCTAATTCGGCACGCCAGGAATCCTCTCCGACTTGTTTCTTCCCCTTACCGGACGCCTGGGACTTCGATGGAACTTTTTTCTTCTTCATTGCGACTGATTCGCAGCTTTCCAACCTAAACACACGTGCCCTGTCACGTATGACAGCCTAAAGGCACATGGCACCGATCGATTGGTAAACAAGCGATGAGCTGCAAAAACAGTTCCCTTATTTGGAACAGTTTAGTACCATATTGTATTCTACATATTTGGTGGACGAGATTTCCTGAACACATGAAGATTTTTTCGTTAATCCAAAATACCATCTTCAGAGTTCAGGACAATCCCCTTTTACCGAGACAACCTTAATTTTACGTAACAATAATCCCCATAGAAAGGCTTCACAATGTCACTTCCTGGAACCGAATAGTTCTCAGAACTGTAAACGGCATTCTAAATGTTTAATGTTAAAAACACAAAATAATTTACTACATAATGAGACTAACGGAGATTATTCTGGAGTGAAAACGTTTGACATGGCCTTGAACAAGCTTGAAGGCCTACCCTTTTGAAATTTCTGTGAAGAGGATAGGCCTGAATTGTAAAAATTATCCTTACGATCACTGAGAAGGATTTTATCGATTCGCTACATAAGCTGTTTATTTTGAAATTGGCGTAACTTCACTTTTTCGTGTCTGTTTCTTTTAATTTACTTGGTTTCAATTTGTAATCACAGCAGCCGCAGTACCATTCTTCTCGAATTTGGGCGTTCACCACTGTTAAAACATATAATTCATATCTTGTTCAGGGACTATATTAATTGAAGAATGTTGCTTAGGTTTTCTGTTTCTTTCTTTTCCTCGATATATAGGGAGCAACCTTATTTCAGAGCACAGTACGTCCGCTTTCTAGGTAAACGTGAGAGTTTGAATTATAGGTGTAACCTGCATTAAATAATGTGAGATAGAAATAAAAGGAAATTACTAACTTCAGGGATATAAATTTTCGACGAAAAACTCACACCACGGGAGTCTCACAGAAGTGAGAAATTGATTAATGAGGTGTAGTACATTGACAAAATATGTAAGAGCTGCGAGATTCGTGAATAGATACAGTGAATACAAATGTAGACCGACAAAATAATATATTAGTGAAATTTTTATGCCAGAACCGATAACGAAAAAGTCATTTCCATTTTGTATAGTATAGGATTAATATTTAAAGGATGCCTAGACTTCTAAGGGCAGCTAATTTAATCTTTTCTTTTTGAGTGCCGAGAATTTGTATTTACTTGTTTTTTTATGTTTCCGATGCTGTGGTTACGAATTTGAAGTCGAAAACTGTTTATCTTGGAAGATAAAAGAATTATAAATTTTAGAACAAAAGTAGGATTTTTCAGATTGAATCCTCGAATAATAAATTTTTCCGATTTATTCATGCCTTCTATCACACACAATAAAAAAATTTTCATTCGAAGACACACTCAATTTGGAAAACAACAAATTTGGAAAAATAATCAGAAACTTTTAACATGGTAAAATTTGAAACATTCGATTGCGCATAAAGTGACTTAACACTTATCACATCTTGTCGAAGGTCTTCTGTCAATTCTATTAAATCCAAACTGAAACAAAATTTGTTAATAAAAACCTACAAGGGAAGGCACGGGGGTTGTTCTCCGATTTTGATGAAACTTCATATGTCTGTTAAGCAGTAAAAAATAAGACACACGTATTTTTTTATCAGCCGAGACGCGACTTTAAGGGATGAACCACCCCTCAAAGTTTCGATCAGAAATTGTTTTGTTATAAACAAATTATATCTTGGATAATTTGTTAGCATCATATTATTCTAAATAAAAAACCCCAAATCTCGTCCAGTAGAAGTTTGTATGTATCTCCGCTGGTTTTCGAGATAGTACTTTTGGGTCAAAACTTCGAGGAATGGTTTCACCCCTTAAAGTCGCGACTCAGCCGATAAAAAGAAAATACGTAACCCTTATTTTTAACTGCTTAACAGACGTACGAAATTTCATCAAAATCGGAGGGAGACACTTCCGTGCCTTCCCTTCTTATGGTCTGTTATGTATGTAAAATTTCCTCCTTTCTTTGCAAGTCTTTGTTAAAACTCACACAAAATGCCTCATTTTTTCGATTTCATGATAGGTCGTACATTATACATTGGAGTAACATTCAATAATCTTTTTGAAATTTTGATTTCGGACTACTCTACACCGAGTATCGTGGACACCGTTTGTACAGCGCAATGTGAGATCAACACAATTAGCGCCACCTACAATTTGCACGGTGCACGAATACAGAAACAAAAATTTTTTTATTCATTTGAATGTATAATAAGTAAAGGGCAGAAAGTCTTTTTATTATATCTTATTCGCTTTCTTTAAAAAAAATCATAAATATCACCATTTCTCGGGCCGTTAAAGAGCAAAGAGGTCTTAGAGGGGTACGTACCTTTGTAAGGTTCAACAAATCGATAATTTACCGACAAATTATGAGATACTCTCTAAAATACTCTATTTGAAATACGAAAACATTTTTCGAAAAAGGTCTTATTCCTTTCAAGAAAAAAAGTCTCGAAAATCACTGATCTTTTCGGCCTCCTGACTGAGCATGTAACCCCTTGATACCCACGGTCGTCAGTGGAGTAATCTATCCGATGATTCCAATTCCAATGATTCCACACTTCAACACGTAGCCATCGGTGATTTCGCAAAGGCGGCGCAGTGCCCTGCTCCCGTAACTCGTTACGTTTGATATCTATCGCGGCTGTCTACCCTCTCCGGTTACAAATTACGACGCCAATTGCGAGTGGGTCAAGACTCGAGAACCCGCGATAAATAGTGCGTTCATTAATTAATTCGCCGGTGAAATATCGTAGCAATGCGTCAACCTGGAAGTTGCCCCCCCCCCCTCCCCAACCGAATCTCGCGACAGTTTTGTTAATGGACAGGCGCGTTCCCTTCCGTAACTGCTGTACTCACAGATCCATTAAAAGCTCGCGAGACCGACGGGAATTAATTGCAAAGAATATACCTACGCTGTCTTCCCGCCCGGGACCGTCAGGAGACAGGCGGGAGTACTCTTAACGATTATGAAAATGTCTGATGGATACGAACAGAACCGATCTGTCTCAGGGGTGGAAATTGAAGAAAGACAGATGAAACGGTGATAATGACGCAGCTGCGTCGATGACGATTCAGAGAGAGATCGAGGTCAAGGAGTTTCGCCATCAATTGAATTAAGATTTCATCAATTTCTCGCGAAGTGAATTTTCATTGTGAAAATAGAGTTGAGAGATAGGTAACACTACGATGATAGGCCAAAAATGATAGGATACCTATGGAAGTGATTTAAAAAAAATTTTAAAGCTTTATTAAATATGTAATATAAGATTCTTATGATCCATATGTATGGAAAAGAACAAAAAAATTTGTTTAGAATTCTTTAATAAAAGATAGCGGTGCAGCAGTCGCACGAACGGTATTTACGTATTTTCCATTTGAGTCAGTCTGCGGTGGATGTTTTACGTCAATTCACGTCCACACCGTTGAATCTTGAACAAAAAACAGAAAGTTTTATCATCTACACACTAAATCCTAGAGAAGCACCCAAGTTCCCGAAAAATATTGATTTTTGAAAAAATGGCGATCATTTGTTAACAATTCTTTTCTCTTTGCTGAAAAATTTCTTATAATTATTTATTGAATTTATTAATTACGAAAGTATTAATTACAAAGAGTCTACAATATTTTGCAAAAGTCATGGGTACTTTTCTAGTCAGCTATTGTGCCGCTATTTTTTATTAAAAAATTATAAACAAAATTTTGTTTGCTCTTTCTCATACATATTATAAGGACCTTATGTTATATTTTTAATAAATTTTATAAATTTCTTTAAAATCAGCTCTAAAGTAATCCTATCATTCATTGCCTATCGTCGTGGCATTACCCCTTCAATCAGAAGCAGACTTGTTAATTTGTTGATTTTCTATGTTGCAGAGAAAAGGTGTCTAAAACGATCCCCTTAAGGCGTAATTTATATAAAAAATACAAATGCTCATTATTTAAATAAAACTAAAGTAGTTTTTGTAAGTTAGTCTATCTATCTTATCAATGGCTCAAATACAATTTAGCTACCTGATCAATTATAGTTTTTATTCACATTTTTTTGAAGGCATACTTAAGGATCATTTTATACCTACTGATAGTAAATACGACGAACATTAAACAGCATTTCATTTATTACATTTTATTTAAATAAAAACAGCTTTGACGCGTTGTTTTTCTTCCACACTTACAGGGCATTGTTATAACTAAAACAAAAAAACAATAATATAGCATATGGGTGAAATGATTTCTGGGATCATTTTATTCTACTAGGGAGGGATCATACTTATTACATGCGGTAACGAAAGATTAATTAACTTATTATTGAATTGTGGTTAAATCCGTGCAAGAAGCAGCTGTCACATTAAACCGATTATGACAAAAGTTACAAAATATTGAAAAACACTTTATCTTAGATAAATTGCAATAATTTTAAATTTTTCTTGCGGACAACAAATAGAGCACTGATATTCACGACACTTCGAGCAACGACTAGTGACGTGCGGGGAGAACTACTGTAGAACGACATTACGATATAGCACCACTAATAGCCACAGGGCAGCCAGGAATCACTTTACCCCGAAGGATCGTTTTAGACACCTTTCCCCTATATCTTGATGACTGTCGAAACTTGGTCCAGGTTGACGAAAAACTGTTTTCTGTGAGAACATTTACAAAAACCTTTTCGAACATTTTAAACAACAGCTTTAGTTTATGCTACGGGACATTGTAGAATATCAGGATAGGTTTGTGAATACGTATTGTCGTTTTTCAGCACTAAATAAAATCATAATATGCCTAGATAGCACATGACGCCCAATGACACCTTGGAGACGATTTAAAGGCGCCTTATACCTAAAATAGGCGTAAAATGGGCGTCTGCAAGGCGTCATGTGCTATCTGGGTGGTGGGTGAGCGAGTCATGGAATTAAACCGAAACAGTTTTAAAAAGTCGAAGCTGTGTTAAAGTACAGTAGAGTATACAG